GCATAGTGATAAATGAAAAAGCTATTTTCAAACGCATTGTAATAGAATGTTGTAGAAGAATTCAATTCAAAATGGCTCCTTAGACTTGTGCGTGACAGAGCAAATCATTATCGGATCAGCATTCATACTGCGCTCCGCCCCTGCAGTTGTGTTAGCCCTTACTACATGTTCTTGAAATCGCGCAATTTATTAATTTATACCTCAAAGCTATAGCCAGTACATGACGAATTCGAGTAAAACAAAAGTTAAGCTATGCGTTTAACAAATATAACATTGTTAATTGTCTCAAATATTCCATACTATGAGTTTTATCGCTTTGCTACATATCTTACAATCTAAGCACTAAGTACATGTGATATTGTTTAATGTGTATTTATTTTTAATTAATTGTAATTTAATGAGAATTAACAGTGAAGTGATTTGTAGTATTCAAGCATTTAGATTCATATGCTATCATATAGAATTATTAATATTATTCGAGATATTTTATTTTAAGATCCTTTTTACACTATATTTAACATTTAATATTTGGTCCCTTTGGAACTGAGATCTCAAAAATGTTGTTTTACTTATTTGACCAGTTGATATCCATATTTCTTAAATTACCCAATCAATCTAGTTTATCTCAATCAATTTTACTACAGAACTGAACGCCATTTTATTTTACTATATAATTAACTTAAATCTTTATTATAAGTTAATTTAGGCTATTTAGCTTTCGCTTTTCGTGTCGTCCTTCCCAGTGTCTTAATATTATTTTAGTTAGAATATTATTTCCTAAACCACACAAAGTTTGATTTTACTCTTGGATAATAAATTTTTAGATGAAATTTTATTACTTGCTTCGGATCACTAGAGAATATTATTTAAAATTGGACATATTAATAAATATTTCTTTTTGCCCAATGGTAGGGGATACAAATCACAGATTTTATCGCATATCAATAGCATCCAGGCTTCACCTTGACTTATTGTCAAACAAACAATCGTTGCGCGATGTTGGCCGTCATCTGGTGCCATAACAGATTCAATAAAGCCTGCTTCGACTTTTAACGCTTAATGCCTTTAAGATTGACCAGATAACATGCGTCGTTTATTGTACGACTTTTGCAATGCACTTGCCTTGGCCATCTTAAAGGGCTTTACCCTAAATTGGATTATGGTAGCAATTCTATTGCATAAACTTTAACTATCTTAATTACTCTACTGAGGTTCAGGCCTTAACTATGGATGGTATCTAATCAAATCAAATAGGAAGAATGGATCATGGTGGTGGATACACGGACCAAGCTAGTTGGGTGTTTACGATTACAAATGCAGGCGGGCCCAAGGACTTAACGTGTGGACTTTTCGGTTTCGATCCGTTTTCGATTCGATTTACACAAAATTTATTTAGTAGAATTGGCCTCCAGAGCCCCGTAAATAGAAAGGGCCACCAACCCCCAATAAAAACAATCTAAGATACTTTAATTTGGGTATTATTAAAAAGAGTTTTGAAACAAAATGACAATTACTTCATTGATTTATATTATCAGGCCCTGAGTAGAGAAGTATTAGCTCAGGGCCCCAAAAATTCACGAACCGCCCCTGGGTATGTATATATATCTTTTTTCGGTTAATAATATAAAATGACCCGGTGTACTTCATATCACGGCTCACCGTTTAAATCTTCTGGACTACGACAAACATTTTAAACCCTAAATCGATTTCGAGTTTTAGCGAGACATACGAAAAGCAAATTATATATATTATTACTATAAATTTATGACTTAATTTAACACGCACTTAAGTTTAATCGAATTTAAATAATATCAATACTAAATGTCAACCATCTACGTACAGGTATAATAAAGTTAAAAATAAATCAGGTTGTAATTAAAAACCGGTCTGTCCATTTGCATTTATTTTATTTTTATGAGTTTCTCGTTCTTTTGATAAGTTGGTAAATAGTCTAGTTGATGTTTATACAGTTAAAAATGTCAAGTAAGGGCAGACACACATCTGGTGAAGCGCAACGCAGAGCAGTTTTTACTATCAAAGCATTAATGTCTTAGTCATTGCTGAAATGAGATAGAAAATTGATTAAAACAAAATAATTGAAGTGTTTACCGGACTTATATTGTACTAGCTTTTGCCCGCGACTTCGTCCGCGTGGTAAAGTTACTTTGAGCATACTTGAAATGAACTTTCATCCCCTATTTTATCCCCTTAGGGGTGGAATTTATCGAAATCCTTTCTTAAGGGATGCCTACGTCATAGTAGCTTTACGCATGCAAAATCTCAGCCAGATCGGTTTAAAATTAACAGTTTCATACAAACTTTCATCCCCTATTTTATCCCCTTCGGGGTAGAATTGATCAAAATCCTTTCTTAGCGAATGCCTATGTCATAACATCTACCTACATGCCAAATTTCAACCCGATCCGTCCAGTGGTTTGAGCTGTGCGTTGATAGATCACTATGTCAGTCACCTTTGAGTTATATATATTAATATTGGACCGTATTCGATCTTATTTCATTAAGACGAAAATGCGATTGATAGTTAAAAAACGCTCTGAGTTGCGTTTCGCTAGATGTGTGTCGGTCCTAACACGATGTTTTTGGCAGTTACAAAAAAAAACCTTTGTATATAATACCAGTTTTTTTGTACTTGTTCTCTTGCCGATTTTGCCACTTTTGCGAGATCTTCTTACAGACTCGACGAATTCTGATCATCGACACTTCATCCGTCTTATTAGAAATCTAAGTATTTTTTTTGTCATCATAACCAGCCCTTTTAATCCCCCACTCAGGCTCAGGCCTTCCTTATGGATGGTTAAGGAAGATGGGCCATGACCCTCCACGCTGGCCCAATGCGGATTGGAGGGTATTAACGACTGCAAATGCAGCCGGGATCAACGGCTTAACGTGTCTTCCGAAGCACGGAGTAGCACGGTATAATAATTTTTTGGTCTCCCATCTCGTGACCGACCCTTGCGAAAGTTGCTTAACGACTACGATCGCGGGCCGCGGCGGTTATCCACTACGCCACCGAGCTACTCAATCTATTATCCGACCAAACTAAGTCAACACGTCTTAATTTGACTTTTTAATCCCCGACGTAAAAAAGGGGTTTTTGTATTAAAGGTGACTAATGTGTGAGTGTTCTTAGACATATTTGATGAAAATCGGTTGAGCCGTTTAAAAGTTGTGAGGACTGAAAGCGGGGAAGAAAAACCGAAAGTCTGTAAATATACACAAGTGGAGTCTCAAATGAGAGCGTACTGAAAGAGAATATTGATGACTTAATCGAGAGTTTTCTTAGTTTCGGTTGAGAGAAAATGATTACATTAAAGAGTTGAAGACTAATATAAACATTAAGTAATTTATAAGTTATAGAAACAAAAACTAGTAAATAATAAGTAAAATCAAAGCGAACAAGCTTGGACTTAAATGTAAATTTGAAAATTTTCGACAAACAATCTACATTATAATAAGTATATACCTATAAAAAGTATAAAATTAAAAATTTTAAACACCCCGACACAAAAACTTCCCGTTAAATAGTAAAAAATAATAAAAGGAACTCAATCTCGAAGTACCTAATTATGTATTAATAATTCTAAAAAAAACATTGCGTTGGGGGACCGCTCCAAACTTAACAATTTAATTCGTCCCCCAACGCGACATATTCTTTTAGAATTATTGAATTATATTTTGGCAGTTTAAGATTGAGTTTATTTTATTATTTTTATTACTCTTCTGTCATTGTTAATTTGCTTTTGTAAGCCAATGATTTAAACTGGGAACTAACTTTATCTTCGTTGTATAATAATGTGGTATTGTCCACTAATTTTTCTTCATAATATAAATAAATTTAATAATAATGGTTTTGCAATACAGCCGTGGGTGGATGCCAGAAATGTCATCTCATTAAATAGACCGGTCCTGTCCGAAGATCTATCGATATGATTTTATCGAAGAGTTGACAAATTGTCTGCGAACACATTGAACACAGGTGCTAAGGCAATTTAGTACTAAGTTATACCACGGCTTCACTTGTATAACACAAATTATTTATTTAATAAACTTAATAAAAGGAGGTTCTCTACCAAAGTGTTTATTTTTCGATTTCCATAAATTATGAATTGAATTTTAATCTCATTGTGCGATATGCTGTTTGATTGTGTCACAATTGAGGCGATATATTTGTTTTATTAACAGAGAAAGTAGTATTTCTATTAATCGAAAATAATCTGTAGTCAGCAATAAGTGCACATATCATGTTTACATAATAATTGTGAACTGAATTTGATGAACATACATATAATAGTTACATTTATATCTGAATCAACAAAACTGTGTATCTCTCAGTAATATAGCTAATCTATAAAGTTCAATTCAAACTTAATTTTCTAGGAGTTTTTACTGATATCTATTGAAATATCTTTGTAATTCTATTAAAAATACAGTGTCTAGCGTTTAATAGGACGCTGTCGCACCATAGAGATTCAACCAAATACAACCTTTAAGACTTTTGAAGTCAGTTTTCCTTTGCTTTGGTCAATAATAACCATTAAATGCGTTTTAAGTCTACTTACACATAATAGCAAGCACTCTATCTTATTTTGACTCCCATATAGGCTTTTAAGAAAAAATCGTACGCTAGAAATATTATGAAACGTTACGTTACTTAAAAGTTTTTTTTATTCGTACAAAATTGGCTGGATTTCATTATAAAACAGTTAAAGTTCAAGTTTATGTCAAATTTGAGGACAACTGTCAAGCTGACAATAACATTGACTGCGAAATGCGTTGCACTATCCTCTTTTTTGGCATAGCCAAACAACATTATTAACAAGCAAAGCTTGGACTTATAGTTAACAATTAAAGTTATAACGTTATTTAAACCGATGCTTTAACATGTTTGATTCTGTTAAAGTAGATTGGATCACCCACTCCACGTGGCAACCTTTTCATTACCTAATTCTAAGTACTAGCTCTTATTGTAGGAGCTTAGCAATGTATAACTAAGCGCAATCTATCAGTGGAAATTAATAAGTAATATGGATTATTTCGTTTGCCGACAGCGTGATGGAGAGTCGAGTGGGACTGGACTACATAGTGGAACATGCAGAGTATGCAAGCAAGCTCGCAGCCGCGCTCACCTCCCCAGCCGCACCAGTCAAGAAACAGGTCAATATTGTAGTCATATCAAACCAGCTATCTTATGACTGGGTTAAAAAAAATCTATTTAGACTGTCAGTTAGGTAACAGAAAAATATTAGATACGTACTTCTTTGCTACAACAAGAAATAACTTAGATAATATACATTAAAGTTGAGGAGTGGCGACTCGTTACGTTACAATTATGTAGAAAATGTACAAAGGTGTTAAATATTCTTTAATAATAACTCGACGGACAGATAGACGAAATTTAATCATCATCAACAAGCAAAAGAAGTATGTAAAGACTCTATTCGTCGGTTGTTGTTTGTCTTTAGTGACAGTTTCTATTCACTAGATACTCATTAGTATATATCTGTGTGTCTACAGGTGTTTGAGCTGCTGTCTGCGTTATGTGTTTACAATGCAGAAGGATACGCTCGGGCCGTCGACACACTCGAACGATATAAGGCAAGTGAATATTATTATTTAAAAAAAAATGACATCATCTTCACGACTCTAATCGTCAATTGATCACGTCTTTATCATCATCAGCCTATTGGCCTCCCAAAAAAATCTTATAAATATAATCGCAAAAGTAGAGCGGATAGATAGGAATATCTGCAAATACAAACGAAATAATAGCTTAATCTGCCTTACCAAGCTCAGGGCAGCATGCTTACTCTCGAACGTAATCGCGCTTACTCTCGAACGCTAACGCGATCTATCGTCGTGTAATGTTTCGTACTCTTTTTCTGGGTGGTTTTTTAATTTGGACATTGCATGGTTATTGAAAAGATTAATTGACTGTTTCAAGAGGTCTACTATAACCAAATTTTTTATTAAAAAAGTGAGATTGGATTGAAGTTGACATTGTGTTTGCGTTCAAGAGTAAGCCTGTAGACCAGGATAATGTTTTTGGTCACCTCGGATCTTTTAATCCATTTTTTTTTTAACCCCCATAAATTACGAAGCGAAGTTAAGTAACGAAGTTGCGGCAAAACAGCTAATTTATTATAAACTAGTTGTATTCAGAGTAATTTCGGGGCCTATTCGATGCAAACAAATAATCAAATTTCTCTATAATATCGGAATAGACCTCTTGAAACAGACTCAATACTTACACAATGTCAATTAGTTCATGCAATATTTATCCAATTGGCGCTAGTATACAAAATCAAGAGTACCAAACAACACTTTTATTATAATATTGCCTTTCGTGAGTTAAAAATGAGAAAGATTAGGGCGTACCTACTCATTGATTGCTAATAATAACGATTTGTTATTTGCCTTTTTTTAATTACTACTATAAACTTTGCCAACAAACCTTTTTGTACTCAGAGTTATACAATATATTCGACTACACGCTTGCTGTTTGTTTTATAAATGTCTTGGAACATGTAAATGGTCGTTGTGCTCGGTATTTGGTTGTCAGTTCACCATTCGTCATGTTTAGTGGTCGTTTATGTCGTGGGCGTGATGGATGTCAATAATTTAGACGTCGAGATGTGAACAACGGCAGGTTGCGTTTTGTTGTATGTGTTAAAACCGTTGACCGAAGGGTTGACACGTTTTTATGAGAAATTAAATTTCCATTTAATTTATGGTATTTCATGGATTGTAGTTGTTATGGAATATTTAGTCATTCTATGATTATAATATTGTATTATGATTAAAATGATATAAATTAGAAAATTCAAAGCAATTCTTATTGTAATAATTATTATATTTGAGTACTAGATATGACGGGGAACTACACATAATAGCTAAAAAATAAGTTTTTGTATGTTTTACACGTGTTTTTTCATAGTACAGTGTTACCGTTTTAACAGTTTGCCTATGTAACTCAAGGTTTCAATTCAATTATATTATTTGCCTATGAATTTCTCTATTTTTCTTTCCATAAGAAACATTTTCGTACTTCAAAAATCATTTAAAAATACATTTTTTGTTATTAATCTATAGATTTTTATAGTTATCGATTATCTCTATTTATTTCAATGGAAATCAGATTTATTTAATTACTATAGTAGAACTTGGCAGCCCTACGTCCCGCCTACGTACAGTGACCCATCTTTTAATAAGCACATTCTGTGATCAAAGTGCATTTGAAGAGAATCACTTTGCACATATAAAGCTTTTAGTAGCCGTTGTATAAAGGCATAAGTTTATACATTGAAATAGTATATTGCGTGCTTTATGAGGGTTTAAAAGGTTATCTGAAACAGATAATGACAGACGCGAAGGGCAATTTTAATTTATACTATGCAGTGATTCAATAAAAAAAGTTCTAATAGTATGTTTACTTGTTTCTTAGAGCCTCAAAGGTGAACGGTACAGGTTGAGCGTGGTGGTGGAAGAATTGAAGACCGCTTGTTCAGTTGACTACAAGACAGCACTGGTTGCCTTCGTGAACTGCCTGATAATATCTGCACCTCGTCTCCCTGACCGCACTAGAGTGAGGAATGAACTCATTGGTAAGATTATATGTCTACATCATAATAATAACGTAAAGAAACAACTGCATACAGTTTTTTTAAGGAAAATTATAGAAAAAGATTATATTTATCTTAAACAATATACTTTAACAATTCATCAATTCCATGTGTCCAGGGTAAGAATATAATTTGATGAAAAATAACAAGCACACACGGCCGCACGTCACTCTACACACCACCACCGTAAGCAGACCTCTGTTAGTAGGGAAGTTCTATACGAAACGCGCTCGTTACAAAGTCCACAATATATGTACTTACGTGCAGCCGTGTGTACAGTGAAGTTTAGATGTTAGAGTCAAAATAGAGTCATCCATCACAGATGACTATTTGAGTAAAGAAAACACATTTTTTACCTACTTATAATAATAATATCAATGGAATTTTAGTATTTACTTACATAAACTCTTTTTTCTACAGGTCTTGGACTGCTACCAACTTTAAACAGCTTCAGGTGAGCTTTAAAACAAATCATAAAGAATTTATGACTCTACCTTTGTTAATCGTGGTAGATTAATAAATGACTAAAATAAGTTTCAAAAATATATGATCTACCTTATTATGTATTTTTAGTCTTTTTACTTTGAATTAATTTTATAGAAAAAGAAATTGATTTTAGGTATTTGAGGATTTCGTAGCCGTTTTCTAACGTTTAAGTTTCGGCTTTATCAATTAACCTTCTTGAGACACTACCGATCATTTAAACTGTAGATGTGTATTGTGTGTATATATGAGTGATTGTGTATATATTAAACATCAAGTATTTTATGAAATATTCATCAAATAATGAATGAATGATAAAATATAGAAGATCCAATTTCAAAAATGTATGGTAATAAAAATGACAAAATAAATTATGGTATAGCTATTGACAACACTGTCATAAGTTGAGGCTTCCAAAGAAATATAGGTTCGTTTCAAAAGTATCTTTGTTTTAGATTAGATACAGTTTATTTTTGTACAAACCTCTCCTAAATAGAATATTATCTGAATATTCAGATACGCTTATTAAATTCAAATAGAGATCAATGCCACCATAAAAAGATATATTCACAGCTGTCAATCTATAAATTTGTGAGTACATACGATAAAAAAAACGATTATCCTCTTTGATTGTCTTTTTATTACGTATTTGTTTTTTGTCACTGGTCATACCTGAACGAGCCTGCCATTTTTGCAATTCGATATGCGTTCGTTAAAGGATAAAAAAATGGAAAATGGAAGCTAATTGTCAATTTACAGGTAAGATAATGAAACATTTGTGTAGTGAACTTTAATTATAACTTTAGAACTTTTGTTATTAAAACTTTAATTATACACAAATAAAATGCTGTTTCTAAGTTTTAAATATTTCTCAATTAAGTACCTAATTACAGTGTACAGATTAACTTTTTCGTGATTCATTTCACATCAAATGCACTCATAGAATTTTATACGGTTTTTGCTGTGTACGTTAAATTGTTTTTGTAACTACAGCAAGCGATTAAATTACTTTACGTTATTACAGTTTTTTTTTTATAATAAATATATACCTAGTAATTTTGATAGGAATGTTTAGAAAAGATCACGAATTTAAGATAAATAAATGACAGAAAACCTGAATGGCTGTAAATTACATTACGCTGCGTTCATATAGAGGGTGTCATTATTTAGAGCTATATTAAACGTGCATAGTTTCATATATAAAATTCGGGCTTTAGAGACATTTGAAACTCAATTTCAATTAAATTAACAGGTCGCTCTATCTTATACGATAAAGATTTTTCAACATCTCCAGCTCTTTTACGTTCCCACTGCAGGGGCTCAAGCCTTCTTATAGATAGTAGGGATTAAATTATACGAGTAAATACGAGTACTTCTTCGATACTTTTCTTTCGATACCAAGTACTTTTGGAATCGATACTTTAGAACCGAGTAGCAAGTAGTATCGTAAAGAAAGTACGTATATTTGTATCGGTACTTGGTAGGTCACTCAATGCGGAGTGTAAAAAACTCGCGTGATCAAGACTCTTTATTCTATGGCAAGGTATCTAAAGTCTGTCTCTTGAAATATTCCGACGGGCGCGGCGTCCCTGTCGTATGACAATAAGAATTGCTAACTAATTGAATGAAGTTAGAAATTTAAAAAGTTAAATTAATATGCAAAGACAAAAATTTCGACTCCTTTTTACGAAAAGCGCAATCAAAATTTAGATCGAGATCGCTAATATATTCCTATAACACTGTTTGACAATTTTACTGACTGAAAGTATATCTAGTTTTTGATAATGGAACCTCATTAATGTTCAAATTATTTTATATCGTGCTAACTGTATTCGTAAATTTTCGTAATAGTCTATATACGCGGCTGGCGTATGATGTAGCCTCAAATAGAATCACTCCAGTGGCTTCGGAGCCTATTCGATGCAAACAAAGAAACAATCAAATCTTTTCACTTTATAATATTTTTATAGATTTGATTTCAATTATTTTTATCTCAATCCACAAAAAAAACCTTTCATAATTATCATGTAAATTAGAAACAAGTCGACTCTTACTCAGTGGTCTAAGTTGGTACACCAAAAACGGACTGCGTAGGCGTAACTGGATCTACCTAATATGGACCAGAATGAATAATACCTGCTGTTGACCGCTGGCACGCTTAATTATGTTTTTGTTCAAACATTAATAAAGAACTGTTATCAAAAACGAATCATTTGAAATAACATTCACATTATGGGCACATGATAGTTATGTGACTTAAAAACTTAGAAAAGATTGCACTTTCTGAACTAAGAGGCACTCGTATTGTACTTTGAAACTAGAGGTAATCTATAGTAAAATAAATACGTACACAATTTAAAACCAAGTTTAGACTGAGATCTTTTAAACAACAGATTTTAATGAGGTCTTCATCAATATACGAGTTTTTTAATAAAATCATCATATATCGTTTTCAGACATGAAGCAACCAGCCATCCAGACTTGGGCGTCCAACTGGACGTGTTTGAGGAACAGAGGGAAAGCGATGAGGCTCAGGGCCCCGGTGGAATCAACCTTAACTCGCATTTAGACGTATTCTACGCTATCCTAAAGCAGGTTAATACTTTATCTTCAAACTTATTATAGACAGGCATTTTGTCTGTTATCTTATCACATCCTATTATGAATAGGATAAGCATAATGACAGGAATTTTACGCAGGAAATAATACAAAATTTATTAAAATCGAACAACAAATGGTTAAAATTCCAAAAATATGTTTTATTAGCACTAGTAATAATCAATATAGAATATATCTAACTTATTACGTAATATAGCTGTTATAAGTTAGATTTAATTCGTCCGTATTTTTTAATAAGCAGTAAGTGTATGTGCATCGCAGTGCTTCGCGGAACATCAGAATTGATATATGATACGACTTTCGACCTTGAACGGTTGCGTACTAACGCACACGTACTTGATGGCTCAGTTTCATTAGCCGATGGAATCCGCGTGCGGCGTGCAAACAATTTCTGTTCCTTGCTTTCATTGGTTGGACATTGTTTTATTATCCAATGAGATGAGCGCCCAGAGGTCGCCTGCCCTCAGCGTACTGACCACATCGACCAGTTTAACTGAGCCATGTTGGATCTTCCGATAGAATTGCATCCGACACAAAAGTTTTTGTTATGATCTTTATCGTGAAATCAATAAAGTTTGATAATTAGTCTTTTAAGTCCAGTACGTTCGTTCTCCAAAAGAACAAAAAAAGTGTACCCCTTTTATATTTCTACCTAATGATATATATTTAGGTAGAACTTATAAATTCAACACTGATTAGTATTTACAAAAACTAACCAATTTATTTTTATTTAATTTCATAAGGTGGCTGACACTCCTCAAGAGATACCATTCCTGAGTATTTTACAACACCTATTACGCATCGATCCCAAAGAACCAGTCAGCGATATCATTTGGGACACTGCCGAAACCTTAGTTCATCGCGCTACTTTACTAGAAAGCAGAGAAGATGCTGCTAAGCTGCTCCGAGCTCCAAGTATCCAGGTATCGTATGATTTCATAAAATTCAAATACACATATCACAAGTTGACCGAGACATACTCCGCTGGTTCAAACACCAGCATGTTATGGAACGAATGCCAACGTGGATATAGAAATCAAGGCGAGCCAAGACAACTACGATCAAATTGATCATGTATTATTAGAAAAGAGGATGGTGTCGGTGAACATAAAAAAAACAATTACAGTAATATCTTGGACCTTTTAAAATTATGCTCAGTCAAATCATCATCACAACCAGTCAATAAATGCCCCCAATGCTGCAGCACAGAGTTTCCTGAATCAATAACAAGCAGAATAAAATGTAACGTATCATATGGTATGCAGTTTAGTAGGTGCTTACAACTGCAAACGCAGCCAGGTCCATAGCTTAACTTGCCTTCTGAAACACTGGAGCTATCTGATGAGCAGTCTTTGTTATTTTCACCTGTAATCGTAGAACGAACGCACTAACCATTTCATCATTGAACTCAATGGATAATAACTAGCTCACCAAACTTTGCTGTGGTTTATATTGATAAACAATTGAGATACATGTGAATGGAGTTTATTAACAACATGCACAATGTGACACGAGATAAATCTCGTTATGTAAATGTAAATTCTAGCTTTCAGTCAGCGGTTTCGTCCGCGTGGTAGAACTGTTTATTTGAATATCATGAACGTTTTTATTCCCTATACAAACTTTCATTCCCATTTTCATCCATTTATTTGCTGTTTACGGGATAAAATATCGCCTATGTATACCGCATATGATGTAGTTTCCCGCAGGTGATAGAATTTTTAAAATCGATCCAGTAGTTTCATGGCCTATTCATTGCAAACAAACAAACAATCAAATCTTTCCTCTTTATAATGTTAGTGTAGATTACACAACTCACATATTTTGCTCATGTTTCAAGATGAGTAGCTAAAGCACTATTATTATGGAGTATTCTGAAAGTACCATATAAATATGTTACTACAACTTCCTCCGATTAGAATCCTAATAAGGTCTTCTCGTTAGGCTAAAATGGGGTGCACGTGTCAGCACCGTGACGTGGCCGCAGCGGGTAGGAAGCAAAGTCTACAACGAGCGCTATCACCACCACCTGTGCCCGCGCCACCTCCACCAAGTGAGTTGTCACGTTCCTCGCTGGCTAATAATTGTGTGACACAGTTGTATACATATTTATTTGATAGGAGGAACACGTTTCAACAGAAATAGTTGAAGAGAATTTAACAAGATATTTCGGCAACAGCAAGCGCCATGATCACAACTTGCAACAACGCCAAAATTTCGGGAACTCGATAAAAACAAAGTATATGGTAGCTAAAATCAACAAATAAGTGATGTTCCAAATAAGCATGAACAATTTAACTAAATGATGGAACTAAATTGAGAAATTTAAATAGTAATATGTGGGGATTATTGTCCATACGTAGGCTTTGCATTGTTTATGAAACAATCTTAAAAGTAATGATAATGTTAGTAACATTCTAGTAATTATTATTATGAGAAATGAGAAAATATTGGAAATGGCAAACCTCAGTACAAGACAGGTTTGTATTTTTGTTTAAGTGTTGGCTTTACTCTTTATTATGAACATGAAAATATATCAGTGAAAACAGATTTAATATTATGATAAATAGCCAAAGATTAGACATAATCATTCTCACTTCAAATCCACAGTGATTCCGCCGCCGCTGGCACCTTGCATGCCTCCTCCACCCCCTCCTGGGGGACCTCCTCCTCCCCCGGGTGGTCCTCCACCTCCCCCAGCTCCTCCTCACACTGCACCAGCCCCTCCCCCACCGCCCGTCATAGACATCAAGCTGCCGCAGCAGGAGACACCGATACCCAAAACAAAGATGAAAACCATCAACTGGAATAAAATACCGAACAACAAAGTGAGTCACATAATATTTTTTTGGTCACCCATCCCGTGACCGACCCTTGCGAAAGTCGCTTAACGAGAACGATCGCAGGCCGCGGCGCTTATACACTACGCCACCGAGCTACTTGATATAATTAATAGCAATTTGCTTTTTATGAAATAGATACTTGATATAATTAATAGCAATTTGAATAGCCAAATAATTAATAGCAAAATAATGTGATCATTTAATATTTTTGATACATATACTAAGATATTATTAGATTTCGAACATAATCTAACATAATCTATTGAAAGATTTTGAAACATTGGATTTCTTTTAGGTTATTGGGCAAAACAATATCTGGTCTTTGGTCGCATCCAGCCATAAGCACTCACCGAAAACAGAACTCGACTGGAGCGAAATAGAAGGACTCTTTTGTCAACAGGTAATAAGATTATTTGAGAATAATCATAATGTTTCTTTTGTTACTGAAAATAATTAAACTAATAATAATAAATATTTCTATCATTATGAAATAGATTGGATGCATCTCTAAGAGGAATTATAAGATTGCCATATTTATGCGGCAAGAAATAGGTAATTGATAGTAAAGAATTTACTCAAAACACTATTCAGGATTCTCCTACATTAAATTCACATGTTTCTTTGATATATTAGCTATTAGACTGTCGCCAAAGCAGTTTCAGTTCCAGACTATAAATAAATGACAAAAAACAATTTTAAGATCCAACCTACCGGATCGGCGGGCTCCTCGCCTCGTCTCGGCCGCAGTCCCATATGCGACAGCTCCGGAGAGAGGAAACCTAGGAAGGAGTCTTCAGAGATCACGTTACTAGATGGCAAAAGGAGCCTGAACGTTAACATCTTCCTGAAACAATTTCGAAGGTAAAGATAATCTAAATCTCACTCAAGTTATTTTTTTTTTGTCTTTATCTCTGTATCTGTATGCAATAAGCATATTATAATAGTAATGGGTGTGAATCCCGACCACATTGATTATTTTTATCAACTTACATGATACATTTATTGTTAACCGGCTAGACAAGTGATTTTCCATGAAAATCATAAAACACAGCTTCAGTGCTAAAAGTTAAACGGAATTCTCAAACATTCCATCATGTTGTCGGATCTTCTATGTAAGTCGACAAGAACTTAAATTATTTATCTAAATCTCTCCTTCATCTATAGTACGGTCACCGAACAAAAAGAATTTCGTAGACCTTTGTGGCTACTGATAGATATCATAAACATGTCAGGTTCACTTCACTATGCCCAAAATTGGCTAGATGCAACTGTGCGAGCGCAATAACAAAATGTTTGCGCTGAAAAAAGAGGTTTGGTTCTGCAACCTCTTTTGTGAAAACCACTGTCAGTTTTCATATAATACAGCCGGCATACTACTTAGACGCTTTTTTAAAGTAGCATACCGGTTGTTTTGTATGAAAACTTCTTTTTCTGTTCTGTGTGCGCAAAGATATTGCTATTGCGCTCGCACAGATGCATCTAACCAATTTCGGCATAGCGAAGTGAGCCAAAAATGTATACGATGTCAATCACGAACGAACCTAAAATGTTCTGTGTGATATGTAGTGTCGGATCGTTGTACAGAATTCTCTCTATTCGGCGATAATTTTTCATAATACGAGGATCTGTAACAGTTCGAACGAGGACATAATCCAGCTGATCCGCGAGGGGTCGCACGATGACGTGGGCGCGGAGAAACTGCGCGGGCTGCTGAAGCTGCTGCCGGAGCACGACGAATGCGACATGCTGCGCGCCTTCACCGGCGACCGTGCCAAGCTCGCGCGCGCCGAGCGATTCCTACTGCAGCTCATACACCTGCCCGAGTAAGTGCTTCTCTCTGACTAACCCGCTAAGAACCCGCTAATCAATGAAATAATTAAAAGATTGCATATAAGCCTACTCTTTATCCAAATGTTTCTCTTTATTTTAAGTTACATCTAAAACTTTGCGCGGTCTTTGAAAAGCCGCTATTAGCTTCGCACATTATAAATATCAATAAAAAGCAAGTTAAGAAAAACATAATTGAATTTAATACTGAGTATAAATATAGGACAGAGTCCAGGAGATAACCCCGGTGCCGGTGGTCAGATTAGGTTAGGTTAGCTTAGAACAAAACCTTAAATAACAGTCACTGATCATGTTCTTTATTTTACAAAAAAAAACATTTTTTTATTGATGAAAAAGATACTAGACGATAAGATTTTTAGATTTGAATTTAGGAATTTTAAATCGATGGCCACTTTCGTAAAGTCGTAATGGAACCTCCTTGAAACCGGCGTGCGAGCCAATCGGTCATTTAGGTCGTCTGGTAACTGATTTTCTTTTTTCTTTCGATAGCTATAAACTTCGGATAGAATGCATGCTGTTGAAAGAAGAATGGTCTTCGACTGCCGGTTATCTCGAAAGTGCCATCAATGCTATCCTTGTAGCAGGAGACGACCTCATGTCGTCTAGAGCTCTACAGGTAATATTGTGGCCTTATACACACTTGCTAAGTCCGATTTTAAATATTAATATATATCATTGTGATGTGCAATCGCAATGCCACTGACAGAAATCATCGAAGAGTAATTGGTGGAATTTGTAAAGAGTAGTATAATTGCTAACATTTGAAATACATATATGTAATATTAATTATTTGTGGTTTATTGTATCTAGGAGGTGCTATATATAGCTTTGATCGCGGGCAACTTTCTGAACGCGGGTGGATACGCAGGCGGCGCTGCCGGCGTCAGACTCGCCTCCCTGCAGAAGTTAGCAGACATACGCGCTAACAAACCCGCAATGACGTTAATGCACTACCTTGCGATGGTACGTTAATACTACTCCTATGATTCCTCATTATAATTTACGTTGAAGTCATTTAATCCTTTCTATCAAAAGCTTATAGCTTATAGTCTACCAGAAATCTGTTACATTAAGCCATTATTATCAAGGATCTCATTGTGAGCAACATCGATGATTATAGAAGCAGCCGAAACATGGTTTTTGATACACAGATTCGAAGACAAATATGTTCACATTCCATCTAAACTTTTGCAAAATTTCAATAAAAGTGAACAGATAACAATAAGCACATTTGAAGGTTTCGTCAATTATTACTATTAATCACTGTTTAAATTTACTGCAAATCATTATAAGTTTTAATTTAATTCCTACCAACAAAAACAATCAGAACTGAGTTTTTGTTTCAGCAAGTGGAACGCAAGAACAAGGAGCTGATCCACTTCGCAGATGACACGCGAGTGCTGGATGAAGCTGCCAAAGCGAGCGTGGAGCAATTGTACAATGAGATCAAAACACTTGCGCAACGAGTGAGCTTACTAAAGAAAGAGACGCAGGCGCCGAACACGCAGCAAGACATAAAAGACCAGATGGGAGACTTTCTTCAGGTATTGTTATATTTCATACCGGACTTAGTGTAACGTAGAGATAAATTACCCCGAGTCAGACTCCAAACATTTTATTAAACTTAATCGTTTAAAGGTGGCCGAGCAGGAGGTAGCAGCTTTAAACAAAGATATGGAGGAAGTCGAGAGCATGAGGAAACAATTGGCTGAGTTCTTCTGCGAAGATCCCGTCTCCTTCAAGCTCGAAGAATGTTTCAAGGTATTTCTAGGTTTTCTGTAAATTATGAAAAAAAATAACGAGAGACAATTGAGTATAGATTAATGTTGGAGTAAATTTGAATTTAGCATTCTTAGCCAAAAAAAAGCATCCCTTGCTGAGTTTCTTGCCGGTTCTTCGTGGGACAGGGTATCCTGCCGTACAATTATGAGCTGATGGCATTAAGTTTTACCCATCTCAAGTGCTCTGAACAGCCTAGATCAAATAAATGATTTTGATTTCTAATGAGGATTTAATAATAAAAAAGTATAATATCGGTTGTGTGGCAGACGTTCGCGTCGTTCTGCAGCAAGTTCAGGAGTGCGGTGGCTGAGAACGAGCGCCGTCGCGCCCACGAAGAACAGGCAGCCGCCCGCCGCCGTGCGCGTGATATGCAGCATCGCCCGCAAGGTAACATCATTACTATCCACGCAAATTGCTAATGTGCCTGACCGCTATTTTGAAGACGTAATTGCGTTAAAAAATCAGTACCGTTAACAAATAAACACTGATTGACAAGTATTGTTTGTGATCACAGATCGTTTTTGCTGGTTTCGATTGTTATTTTTAAGTTTTGTTGTTACTTGTTATGGTTGACTAAAATAGCAACCGCTTTTAACTAAAAGCAATTTTACTAAAAATAAATATAATAGTAAATGTTATTTTTTTATTTTCAAAAATTCATGCAATAAATTAATAAACTAAAAGTTATTAGGTTATTGTAACAATATTTTGGGGATCATTCATAAATTTTTCAATAATTAACATATAATTTATCTCTTGCCTTTTTTGTTTATATTTTCATATCATCATCATCATCGGCCCTTTAACGTCTCAACTGCAGGGGCTCAGGCCTTCCTTATGGATGGTTAAGGAGGATGGGCCATGACCCTTCACGCTGGCCCAATACGGATTGGAGAGTATTAACGACTGCAAATGCAGTCGGGACCAACGTGACAACGGTTTAAAGTGCCTTCAGAAGCGCGAAGTAGCTCGAAATAATAATATTTTGGTCACCCATCCCGTGACCGACCTTTGTGAAAGTAGCTTAACAACAACGATCGCGGGCCTTACTTATACACTACGCCACCGAGCTACTTCAAATTTAATAGATTGATGAGTTATATAAAAACTTCTTACCGTTATCAACAGGCCATTTATGTTTGATAAAATTTGCATTCAGAACATTTGCTTTAATATTTCTTATATATTTTATAATAAAAGAAATTACTTATGGTATAATGGTATTTGTGTTAGGTGGTAGCGTATGCAGTACCCCTGTGTCAGAGTGCGAGTCGTTGATGGAGTCGCTGTTGTCAGACATCAGGAACGGACTCGGGCGACGCTCGCTGCGTCGACCGCACGATGTCTCACCCTCACCAGGTAATTATTCTACTATTATCAAGCATACAATAAATAAATGAGGAAGTATTTAAAAAAAAAATTGTAACCGAAATCAAACTAGATGTCGCTACGGTACATTCTTGATTTCTCCACGACAACCCTTCTGGTTTTCTTTCATGTTTAAAAATAAGTTAGTTTTTAATAAACTACTCATATTCTATTTTTACTTTATCGTATTTGCATTGATATCTAAGTTACGAACTTTTCAAATTTCAGTTTTTTAATATGTTAGTTAAAAGGAACGGAAATGACTGTCTTTGGTCATTCGTTTCTTGCAAAAATCAATTTTTGCTAGAGTCGCCATCTAGTGGAGGTGCTTTTTAAATGCTTTCCTTTTTTTTAAATACTTCCTCATTAAAAGTAAAAAAGAATTTAAAATTTTCATTTTTGACTATATTTTTTACAACATTATATTATTTTTAAGCACTTGCATCCAAGCTAGTGGTAAAGCTTTTAATAAGCTTTATTATCTATACCAGCTATCTATATCTAAACCAGCAGAGCGGATCTGTAAATCCGAACCCGTATTCGAAATTACCGATGTGTCTGAAATCACATCGTTCATACGTGTCTCAGATATTCTGTTCCTATATCATTTAGAAACTCACTTCACTTATGCCACGAAACATTATTACCAACAAAAGGTTGAGCGGATGCTGCTTTTGAAATGAATTCAGAGTGAACTCGAATTCGGGTTCAGATTTTTACTAAATAGCAGGACAGATACGTTGTTGGGAATCTTAAATCAGTAACATCGCCATAACCTTTTCCCCTTGTTCTGTGGTTACAATTAAAGACGATATGATGAATATTACGAGATAATTCATACAGTCTTACAAAATGTGATTCATTTGATTTGATATACACAATTTCTAATCATTGATTGGAAACGAAGCTCCATTAATATTAACCAGCTGAGAATAGGAAGAGGACTAGGTATTTTACCTTCGGCAGTCTCAGAAATGCAAAGGGTTATTTAAATTTTAGATCTCTAAATCTCAATCATCCAAAAGAACAACATAACGAAGATCTAAAACAGTCATAAAAACTTAACTTAAACTAACCTAACTTTATTAACTTTACTTAATTCTAGAGAACTCTCGAGGATATGAAATTATCTTTGAGATTTCAATTAAATTAAAAACTCTTAAATGGTGTTTTTTTTTTTCTTCTGTTGTGTTTTTTTTTTCAATCACTCCAACATTTTGTGAAAATCCCTTTTAGATTTAATGCAGTTACAGAAAAATAATAAATAAATTTTACTTAAATTTGATGATCTCTCCCAATGTTACAATGCCTTCAGACAGCAGTATGAATTCAAAATGTCTCATATACGTCAACAATCAACAACACGTACACACTATTCAAAACTGCCATTTGATTTTAATACTTAATGTTTTATAGGTAGAGTCTGCAAAATCAATTGCAGAATTTTGACCTAGTGTCTACCACAATAGGTGAAATTACTGCCTCTACCGGCAAAATATTAAAGTTTAAAATTTTGTACTATAAAATGGGGTCTTGTTGATATATGTAAAACTGTGATTCAGTTTTATGGTATCAAAATTTATATCTAAAATGAACGTGCAGCTGTGTGTATATTGAACTAGTTGTGATTTGTTTGTCTGTTTGTGTGCAGATGTGACTCCGACGGGCAGCCTGCGGAGGCGCAGCCGGGCCAGTCCTGGTGCTGACGAGGAGGGTCTACTCGAGTTCCTAAGGCATTCCTCTCCCGCCGCCAACGATCTGCGCGAGAGGAGCGCCTGGGGCAGTCTCGGTCAGTCTTATCCATAGATTGTATAAAACAGTTTTTTCCCGCTGTCTGTGCGCATATATTTTTTAAACTACAAAACGGATTTGGATGCGATTTTCATCAGCATGCAGAGTTATTCAAGAAGAAGGTTTATATGTATAATACAGGGCAAGCCCCTTACTCTCGAAGGCAATCGCGACAGATCGACATTGCAATTGTGCTGCTATGCTCTCTTGATTGTTTACTAGTATAATCTGACGCTAGTGTACCCAATCAAGAGTCTTGATTGCATTTGAGAGTAAGAAAGCAGGACTGGACGGGCGAAGCCGCTGGCGGAAAGCTATATAAAATATAAAACGCACATTTGGTCCGCCTGGTGAACCATAACCATGGTGCATTTTCCGTTGTCTAGCCATAGTGAAGGCTTACCCAGCAGTTGAAACAGAACCTAATAGGCTGACAATTACTCCATTTTTTAATTATTTTGATTTAACATAAAAGAATGATGTGTCATCTCTCAACTGTTATTTGTAATGTAGCAGATAACAAGAGTTTTATGATAAGTAGCTTTGATTGCTAAGTTTCGTTATCGTCTCGTGGTCATCTCGTCTTCGGGGAAATCCGGATGCTGTATATCAGTTATATGAACCTCAGAAACATTTGTTGTAAATACATAAGACAACGTTATGGTTTTTCTCACGCTACGTACTCAGTAAATCAAAATAGTTTTATTTCCGTTTCTTTTCTCTCTCCAAGAGCTCTGTTTGAATTTGTTTAGATTAATTATAATATCGCCAAAATAATAATAGGGGCTGTGTGAATTTGAATTTATGAAGGCCAATATCTTAGATTGATTATAATTATAATATCGCCATAACAATCATTTGGGTCTGTACGTATAGACCGGTCGTGGTCGCGGCGCGGAGTGTCGCGCGCGCGCCTCGAGATACCGGAACGGGAGCGCGCCCCCTCGCCCCGCGCACCGCCAGCACCCGCCCCCGCCCCCGCGCCGTCCCCGGACCCACCGCAGAAACCCAAGTACCTACTCATTATACTTACTTTATCTAAATAATTCTTATTAATAGGATGTATGCTACTAGATAAGTTGTTCAGTACTGGAGAATTACTCGCTATGTTGTGACGACACAACTATATCGTTTAGTCGACTGTACTCTTTCTTAGTAAGCGACACGGCAACTGTGTCACAAGTATACATCGAAGTCTTTGATTATATGATAAAACGTTATGCGAATTAATGAAATAGTATAAATAAAAGAACTAGAATGAAAGTGGTAACACAATAAAAATGGTCCTGTCATAGAATGGGAATAGTAATTTAAAAAAAAAAAACTATTTCTAGAAGTATAAATAACTTTCCATTTAAAACAGCATGTCTCGTAAATGAATTTGACAATGTCATTAACGGAAAGCAAAGCTTCGGACACAAAATTGTTTATTTTTAATTTCATCAACAAAACAGCAAACTTTTTGTTCCTTGTGTAATTCTTTGATTGATACGAGGTCTCTTTTTGTTGCACTTACCATTCGATAGTTTCTAACGTTATAAACTTACCTATGCCTAATATAGATCGTGAAGAATCATATATCAGTAAATCATTGAAATATTCTATTTCATTTATAACTTTTGGTAAACTTACTATCATAATGCGAAAACAAACTATTTTTAATTTATCTGCACATCAGAAGATGTCTTATTACATTGTTAAACATCGTTCATTGAATTTTGAAATGAAGAATAGTACTAATAGGTTTTCTGATTACAATTTGCCAATTTATATGATATAATTTACAGAGAATGGAGGCAGAAGATCGAATCATGGCTGCGCGCGAACAGTCAAGAAGAAAAGCGTGAGGGTGAGCTTAGAGAGCGCGCGCGACGACTGCAGGCCAACAGGCGCTCCTTGGAAAACGACTCCGGTTAGATACTATGCATTTAATATCTTTTAAAAACTAATATTTAAATTAATATATCTCGATTATATGCTGTGTTAAAGTCTAACATTGTAAAGATAATATGTATAGATAGATAAACAGAGATATCTGTCTCAGACTAAACGCATTATTAGTATAAAAGCCAAAAGGCGTTCCTAGGAAAGCATTCTGGTCTTATGCATTGCATTTCCAATATTTTGATGACTAAATTTTACACCAATTTTTTTTTATGATATGCTTTATTGAAGTCTAATATAAAATACCTTGTTATATAAATGAATTTTACTATAAGAAATAATATTAACTTAGTCTTGTTTTATTTTTATGATGTTTTTTGTAAAACTAGTGCGGTCTGATATGGAATCTGATTGATCCCGTCACTTGAACATGGTTGGTCATCATCTTAGCTAGGTTTATAATTTTCTCACTGAAAACTTACCGTACACTTATTATGGTATTAATTAAATTTACAATGATAAATTATATTTTTATAATCAGAGAGCGAACGAAGCACGACACTGGACACGCTGCCTGAGGGCCGCGCTGAATGGAGGCCTGCTGTGCTACACGACAGCGACGTCGTCAGAACTATTGAGGCTGTTGAGGGTACGATTAAATATTTACAAGAATTATAAGGATATTAAAAAGTTCAAAAAGATATCCTTTTCTAAATTAACAATACAGAATTTAAATAACCATATTTTTCAAATTCAGTTATTAGAATCACCAAATAATAAAATAATTTCTTTTAACCTATTAGATGTTCAACCGCAAACGAAAGACAACCGGGTGCCTTGGAGAAAGACTGAAGAGAACGAAGAGATGAGACGCCTTAGACGACAGCGGTCACGCCAGCAAATAGAGTCTCCACCACCTTTAGTTTCCATATCCGAAGAAGAGAAACGAAAACTGCCCGATATACGTGTCACTAGTGATAGAGAGCCCAGACTGGAACGAACTGATAGAGAAATTGATGCTGATAATATTGAAACACCCCCTGTCCAAAGAAAAATGTTTAATCCACCCCCAGAACGAGAACCATGCAGAAAATTCCAACCTTCAATTTCGAAGTTAAATTTGAATGAAAAAGCTTCCACAGAAATGAAAGACTTGTGTCAAGAAATATTGGGTGATGGCCAGTTTGATAGGTTCTCCGCTGCTAGAAGAACGAGAAGATACAAAAGAAACACCGACTCGAGTTCGCCGGAAGACGAAAAGAAACCTGAATCTACTCCAGAACTAGTGGCTGAAACTCAAATTATAAGACCTTCAAAATTAGATGTCCAAGCATCATATGCGGTTGAAACACCACAAGAAGTGGCGAAACCTATCGACGAAGTTGTGAAAGATGAAAAAGAGAGTAGGCTGAAACGATGGCAGGACAGACTTAAAAGCCAAAGCTCAACGACAACCCCGACCAAAGATACGAGAACCTCTTACGCGAGAATGAGGCGGCGAACCTCTATCAACCAAGAAGACGTGCAAAAAGCAATCAGGGAACTCAAATCTCCAACAGAGCCTCCTACAGGAGTATGGTCAAGGAACACTTATAGAAAATCAATGAATACCAAACCTGAAAAACCTGTGACAGAGAGGACTACGTCACCTCGTATTTCTAAAGTGAAGAGCGAACACGAATTAAATGATGAAGGTTTCGAAGAAACCCAAAGTTTGAACTCAGAAAGTGCATCGCAAGGTGCATCGTCCGGTTGTAACGTGGAATGTGACTCACCAGTTCCAAAAATTAGGAAATCCCCTGAAATTCCAAAGAGAATGCCGACCAAAGACACCAGAACACTCCCTAGAACACCTTTAGACCCAAAACGAACTGCAGTTCCCAAAAGGACAAACTCTTTGAGAGTCGAAAGGTCTACTTCCCGGGCGTCACTTCGAAGTTCTAGAAGTTCTTTAAATAGTTCCGCATCAGTGGCTACAGTAAAAAGAGCTCCCGTTCCAATTAAACCTGCCATTAAGCCTACTCCAAAGCCGGTAACCAGAATGCCAGCATCGAGGTCTTCTTCATCGGGCAGTTCTATTGGAACAGCAAGACCACCTCTCAAAAGCGTAACAAGAACATCAGGGTTCATGAGACCCACTCAAGCTTCCAAAGGCAGAGGTGGTTTGAATCCTCAGCAGGTTATAAGAGCCAGTGCGAAATAAACCAAACGAAACATTTCAAGGATAACTCTAGTTATATATAGTGCCTTATGTTTATGTGGCCTTAAAAATCACTCTATTTTGGAAATCAACGACTAATAAAATACTACAGATATTTTCGATTAAGTACAAGTAGTTTTATGCATGATGTCAATCTACATTTTATAGATTTTGAAAGTCGGTTGTAAAGAAATTAAGAATGAACGTTAACTTGTTATATTTTACATATGAAACGAGTAACCCTATTTATTATAGCGTTGTCTCTTTCTTTTTTGTGAAATTAACGAAACGTATTTTACGGGCATGTATCTAGTTAAAAAATATTATAAAAAAAATAACCAATAAAATAATTATTGAAATCTTCAGATGTCACATAGGCGCTAGAATCTCAATCAAATCTGAAGTTTTCAATGACTGATAATTTTAAATTTAATTTATAAATTAAGTTTTTTTTAATTCCCAATGGATCTGTAAAGAAATATAAACCCGTACGAAGATTTAAATAAAAAGGTCTTTTAAAAAGTACGTAAACATTTTATAATAAAGCATTCTCTTGACATATTAAGTGCCACGATTTTAAAGTACGGGTATTTTAAATTTATTTAAGGTACATATATCTAGTTTTGACCGGAATGATCTGTTATCATACCGTGTTCATAATTATCCATTAAGAAACCAATATCAAAGTCATTATTATATTATAAATATATATTTATTCAATTAAGATACTCGTTAGTTTATTTTATATTACTACATTATGAGAACGTAAATATTGATCTGATTTTATACGTAATACTGATAATTAAAACATGTTATTATTATTATAGATCTTTAAAAAAAATAACTATGTCACAAAGTACAGGAGTACATTTTTTATTATAATTAAAAAAAAAGATAAATAATTATAAGTTCTTTAACACCGATGTTCTATTGTATGTGTTTATACTAAACGAAATACAACAAAAATATATTCAAACGAAGTTGTGTTTTATTTATAATAAACTTTAAATTGGCAGCGTTACACGCAAAAATGATGAATTTACGTCACAAAGTTTTTAATTATCCAAATCATCAATCGTTCCGAGGGCGATTGCGGCTTTAAGCATTATTTAATTCCATAAATCTTCATCACATTATCTATACCAGTGATTCCCAACCACTGTGCCGCGGCACTTTTATGTGCCGCCAAATTTCAAGTGTGCCGCCAAAGTTTGCAAATATATAATAATGTTAATATTATTAAATTATATCATTTAAAAAGAAAAATATATTTAACATGAATATATATTTAAATCCACAAAAAAAAAATTTTTTCTTAGTGCCAAATTATGATGAAACGGCGTGCATAGCAATAGGAATATGTCTCAAGTCAGCGCACACTTGCCACTTCTGCGTACAAAACGTGTTGTTTTAGTGATAATTGGGATTCACAAGGTATTGCATAGTAGTTACTGCACATTTTCTTTCGTTAAAATTGGCAAATGTATGTGATTCTGTTTATTATTAATTTATTTGCATGTAGTGTCAATTTATAAATTTGTAAACCAAATAAGCTTTAAACATATTATTACAATTTTCCACATCTTATTTGTGTGAATACGGATTTTCAGCATTAAAACCTAAAAAAAAGATCAAGATTGTTAAATGTAGAAGACGATATGAGAGTAGTATTGTCATTTTTACGACCAAATATAAATGAAATTATCAAAAAACTTGTAATTAATCCCTTAATAAACGTTTAGTTATTTTATTATTGTAGTATATATTAGTTTATTTCGTATATTTAAAATGTTTGTCATAAACTATTTATGCAGTGTGTTGTAGTAAGTAAATAATTTTTATCTTTTTATTTGTGTGCCGCCAAATTTTGAAATCGTTAAATTTGTGCCGCAACGAAAAAAGGTTGAGAATCACATCTATACCCTTGAAAGATATTGCGACAGATTTATGAATTGACAATTGGGCAACAGTTTTTAACGTGCAATCTTTTGCCCCTATCTACTTAATTAATGGCCAGATTGATTTAGTTCCGGTATCTCTTTTGATTTGATTCACGAAGAAGGTATCTTTAGGGCAAAATGTCTGAAATTTGACGATAGTGATGACTGAAGATATTATAAAATCACGGCCTTGCTTACTAATAATGAGGCTCTTAAAAAGTTATAGGTTTAAAAAAATTCAAAGTAACTAAATAATACACACGTGAAAGGAAATTTATTTTAATAATGTGCATTAAATAAAATATAGTATACGTTTTTTCTAAATGCAGTAAATTCGTTTCTGCCTTAATTTATAAATCTTTTATAATAAATAAATAAATAATAGATATGCTTATAATATCCGAAACAAGAAACTACAGTATTCATATATAAATTCGATGTAGCAAAACAATTATTGAACTTATTTTTGCACCTAACCCAACCTAACTCCTTATTAAATTATGCAAGCTTAATATATTATTATATTTTTGTTATATAGTCATTTATAATCAGATTTGATAACAGTATAAATCCCTAGATAATATTAAGCACTTCTTATTTTTTTTTTCTTATATTTCTTATTTTAGATAGATTGATGAAAAAAATATTTTTATGATTGGTTTAGTTACAATTTGTCTTAATTCTCCTTAATCTATTTAATTCTTTATAAAATCTTTATTTTCCCAACGCTTCTATAACAATCCATTATCAACTAATTCCATTACTAGATCTGTCATTTTCCTTCTACAAGCCTCATTTGAGGTCCACACTGGCTTAGTGCATTCGTGACGGGGGGATTCATTTTCCTGAAACAAAATAAATTATGTTAATAAAGTTACACGTTGACTAGTCGATCATCTTGTTGGTAGCCATAAAAACATTTTATATAGCCAATAAATAACCAACAAATAACACCCGAAGAAATCTGTCCTCAGAGTAAAGCGATTTCTCGTTACTCATGTTCATTTAATTTAGTTTTCAAATTTGACGAGAGTGAAATTCTTCGAATGTTGATTCTGATATCTTTTTTGGAAATAATGCATTGTACGTTATGTTAAGACGTCATACTACACGACTACAACTCAAACTCAAATTCATAATTCAATCAAGGCTTATACAAGCACTTTAGAATGTCGATACGATGGCGCATCTTGTACCAAGAAGAACCGAAAAGACGTAGGCAAGCAGTTTTTTATTTTATTTTTTCAGACAAGTCTATTTGAATGAATATTCTCAGATACCTTTTGAATTTGATTTGAATAAAATCATTGCCATCACACAATGAATACTAGAATGATCTTGCAATTATGTACTCTCAATTTGAAAAATAAAATAAAGAGAACTTAAATAAATTTTCTTACCAGTGCTAATATAAAGGTACAAAAAATATTTCTAGGATCTACATTCATCATGGAAAAAAATCCAAGCCTTTATGTTACTTATATAGAAATCTGAAAGAAAAAACTCTGGTCCTACTATCAGCCAGTGCCGAAACAATTAGAAATTTTATGTTCTACATAATACATAATAATCATTAATAATGTTACCTTAGCTTGATAGAGATTAGGTGCCTCGTTGCTATCGCACGTCATGATCGGGTACATGTCAAGAGCAATGCCGAGCGCAAACCGAGCACACCGCTTGAATTCTTCTTGCAGCCTATCAACAAATTTTGTTTATCGACTATAGTTGTGATTTCTAATTATGCATTTTTATGAGATGTTACAATGGACTTGCTTATTATTAATTTTGTAAAATGCAATAAATGAATTCGGTTTTCAATAAAACCAATTAATTTATTCACAGAAAGGAACTTTGTACAGACAGTGTTATCGACAATGTTTCTTAGTTCATCTAAAATAAAATAATTTTATCCGGAAACGGATGACGTATTGATTTAATTAAAACTGATGTGACTAGTCCTGTCGAAAGATAAGGTAGTTAGTTCGAGACGCGGTGGCATAAAGACTTGTATCCAGAACATTGTTAAAGTGTGATTGAATCTAGAAGTTTTATTACACTATGATAATATCATGCCGATATTTTGATAAGAAACCCTCGAGAGGAAAGATTTTTAGCATAAGAGAAACAGCATTAACACTTACCTACATTGGTATAATCATTATCCATGAACATGATATTTTAGAATAAAAAAACTACCATATTGCACGAGTAAAATGAAAAGAAATAATTGGAATCAAAACACCTGGAATCACTTTTTCCTTCTGATCTACAGTAATCAAAGATACCCTCAAATATTTTTATTTACAGTCTACTCACATCTCGTACATAATATCCCTCGTCAAACTGGTGTAAAAGACAGACTCCTCGTCTCCCATTTCAAGCAGCCTTCTGTGCAGCTCGTCGGTGTAGTATTCCAAGAGTGAGGTCAGGTGCTCCTCTCTCTGCGACCTTTCCAGGCACAGATAAGTGACATAAGCTAAGTCCAGAGCTGGGGACGCGTATCTTGCTAATTGGAAATCTACCAAATACATCTGAAAGCAAGTTTTATTTTCTACATTGAAAAAGTTTTCAATTTAATGGTTGAATGAAATATCGGCTAAATTGTAGCACATAAGAATCCTCAGTATTGGAATGAATTATTTTTTTTCAATCAATCAGCAATCATAGTCATATAGATGAAAAAATAATTATATTTGATTTATCATTAAAGAATTCCAGGATATTTGTGTATCAAGTTTCGTTTCTAGTTTTAGATAGTACGATTGCACCAGCAATCTAGTAGATGTTAGCGTAATTATGTAAAGTTAATAAATAACTCTTGAACTACAACCCTTTCTGGTACAGTTCTTGTTACTAAATCAGAAAAAAATAAATATATTTGTCACCATTGCACTTAAACTATTGGTAAATAGTACAATGTACAATAATAAAATACAATCACCTCAGCAATATCTCCGTCCACATATCGAAACAGGAAGTTGTTAGTCCAACAGTCGCCATGACAAATCACCGCCAACGGCTCCTTTGGTGTCACCAAATCCACCATCGTCTTGAAGAGGGTCTCTTCGCTGCAGAACTGCCTGAACTTCTCCAAGTACCGCTCCTTGTCGGTGAAGTCTCCCATTTCGGTTTCCACCATAGAGATCGCGTTGAGAGCCGCCTCTTTGTAGTAATTCCTGTAGTAATCTTCGTTCTCTGATACGAAGAATACTGGAAGTAAGAATCTATAATAGAACGGTTGCTATTTATGTGTATGGCCCATTTAGGCTCGGTGACGTTCGCGCCTCGTGTATCGTTGTTGTTAAGCGACTTTCACAAGGGTCGGTCACGGGATGGGTGACAGTCTTTTTTTGCAGTTGTTAATACTCTCCAATCCGCACTGGGCCAGCGTGAAGAGTCATGGCTTATTCTTCTTAACCATCCATATGGAAGAACTGAGCCCCTGCACGTCCACGTGGGTACGTCCCCAAAGGGCTGATGATGACGATGTCAGTCATTCGAAGATGCCATCGATCTGTGTAACTGAGCCTGTGTGTATAAATGTCAATTTTTAAACGTCCTATAAAATATAACAACTTTCCCAAATCCATATTAACAAACTGGCTAATGAAGGAGGTTCTTTGTTCGATGGCATGTCTCTTTGCTATACAATCAAATTTGGTATACAGGCAATTCTTAGTCTGGATTAACATATACTTATGCAAAACTTTTTATCCCACTAAAAAGTACCCTAGGGATAAAAGTACCTCCAAGAGAGCCTATTTTTGTGAACACTGCGTAAACGCTAAGAGAGTACGAATGCCTTCTGGAGAAAAGTTGGAGAGCTATAAATTATATATTAAAAGTCCGCTATGGCATATATCTATATGCTAAGGTTTTGCCACTAAAGTAAAAAAATCTTCGTATAAGAGTATATTAATATTTTTGTCCGTTTTAAACGATTATTTGAGTAGGTGATATTAAATCCATATCAAAATAAATATGCTTATTTTCAAAGAAATTTAATGTACATAAAAATTACCCTTTACACCAAATAAATTGGATGAATAGTTTAGATTATACTGCGATATTCTTGAGAAAAGAAAATAACTTATAATACCGATTTCCTAATACTATTTCGTGTGCATGTATCTATTACTGTTTGTTTATCAGCATTTTTTTTAATGTATACGGTAACACGTAACATTATAAAGATTGTAGCAATGATATTATTGTTTTACTAAAGAAAATTATGAAATAACGACGATTAAGAGAGCGTTTAGTAACAAGAAACACCTATTTAAGGCGATATTTGCAGTCTACATAACCGAAAAAATTATCAGGAATAATGTAGAGCTTATATAGTGCTGGAGAAGAATGAAAAATATTAACTGCACTAAATATTAATATTAAGTTCACTCAGTTTTTTTTATATTAAAGCAAAACTAATGATTTCATTTCGTGAGTTTTAATTTCGAGGATAAACTCTTTCAAACAAAATAAAGAGCATTATGGATACAAGAAAACAGTTAAATTGAAAACGTATTCTTATTTTTTTTTTAATTGATTAAAAATAAACGCCAGTAAATACTAATACGTATGTACGATAAAAATACTACGCAAACGAAGGTGCGGCATCTACATTTTGGGGTGAGTGTAACAAAACAAAATCTGGAATATATATAATAAATTGTTAACTTAATTTTAGGTGTGTACATGTGTATAATTACTTAGAATTAAGTCATATACTTATCAACTATAGATAATGCAAACAATTTATATCTAATGCATACCTTCAGATAGTCCATCTTGCACATTAAGCAATTCATAAAACTCCTCCGGGTTATGGCACTTCATAGCCAAAGACAACGCATGAAATTGCGCCAAATGCTTCAGCACAAAGTAACATTGTTCGATACTCAAGCCCTGCCTCCGGTCCGGCATTACAAAGCCCAATCGTTTTAAATCCTTTAGTACCACAGTGTCGCTCTGCGCTAAATAGCATTTTGGTATGGATTTAAAAGGAGTCTTCACGTCCCAAAGTTTCTGGAAGCTGCTCAATGAAGGCCAGATCTTGTTATAAAATGCAACTTCGTTGCAAAATAACTCGTCGCTTTTGAATGCGTCACGGAGATGTACGCTTTCTGGGAGGCATTTGTAGATGATGGAACTCTCCCACGGATCTTCGGATTCGTTGGATCCCGGCTCGATGTGACGTCGGATTCCTTTGAGTGTGATCCGGTATACCATGGAGGTGTAATTGTCTCCGCGCTTTGAACCGGGCGCTCCCTATTAAATAGAAATGTAAGAAATAATATACTCACCTATGACAAAGTAGACTATAAAAATATAGATAAACTTTGTATGGTTTTGGATTTTGATATTTATATGGAACCAAAAAATATTTATCACTATCTCATCCATCACATTTAAAATTTTAAATTAACTGTATTTTTTTTTATACACCACCAATCACCATACTTATTCTTAGACTTATGTTCCTATCCTTAGTAACGTAATTACCTACTTAACTTAGTAACACTGCAGAAGTGCAGACTAAACAAGTGATAGTCTGAAATAAAATAGAAAATCGTGATTTGCAGACTTAAGCTACAGGTAATTAATTAGGTATAGGGGATGCAAACTCTTCTGCTTATATTACTAAGATTTAGGTTTTAAGGGGGGGACAGCGCGTACGCAGTCCCCACTACCAAAAATTACGCGTCCGAGTTATCCACATTAGGGATAATCGCAGGGGTCAACCCCACCGCAGTGCAATGGAGGAGCCTCGCCCTGGGGGAACCGCCTTCATGATCACGGTATCCCCTACGCCAGGTAAGTATGATTCGGTAGCGACAAACTGCAGTGGTCATTCAAACGACCAAATTCTTTACACCGCCATTCACAGAATATGAAAATACAACACCTACTGACATCTATTAGTGAACTACAAAACTATCTATACCCGACCCTTGTTGACTCACTTGAGCTGCCTCACTACACAAAGCACATGCAGTATGCTACCTATTCGATAAGATAGTATTATATTAAACGACGATAGATGGCACTAGCACTGAAACTGTCTGCCATGGATAAAAAATAATGTAATATATTCGATAAAAAAAAATTAGTTAAATTCAGCAGTTTCAGACAAAACAGAAGTAGATTGACGTGCGTATCGTACAAATGAATTATATATTTTCCATTTGTGTGTTTAATAATCTTGGTTTGAATATTTTAGGATCACTTTATTGCGATAAACCATACTTGTCTTCTGATTAATCGATATTTTTGCACATCCCTTTGCCAATATTGCAAATTTTTTACCGGAGAGATGACATCAACTGACATGGAAAGATCATCGTATTATCATTCCTTTACATGATTTGAGTGATTCTAAGGAAACTTGAATGACTGAAATGAATGAAAATGTATTCTTCATTGTACATACACCATAGTCAAAAACTTTCGTTTGATACATACATCCGTCATAATCACAGAATAAATGTTATAAATTATAGATCACCAAAAATTTTGTTTTTTTTTTATTTTAAAAAGTATCAATCAAATTACATTATTTTTGAACATTAACGGCAGATATATCAAACCCGATGTTCAAGTTTTGTAAATCAGCTATTTGCATTTAGGTAAATTAAATGTTCGGAAATTAGTCATAAAAAACTCAAATATCAAAAAATGAATGTCTTTATAATTAAAAATCGAACCTGACTTACTTTCAAGACAAAAGACAGGTTTTTTTTATTTAATTCTCTGTAATAGAACTTAACATTTAAACATATTTTAGTTATTTTTATTTACTAATCGGACATTAGAATGTGCACTAAAACATTAAGTAGCACTGTTATATTATTTGTCCTCCATCTGCCATAAAATTCTTTATTTTGAAAAAAAGTCTCTTTCGTTCTGACCTCAAAATAGTTGACTGTAACGTCTGGTTCGTCATCCTTGATCAGGTCCTGTAAGAACTCCAGGGTTACCTCTGCCATGTTCACCGACTTAGAATCTGCACTGAACTGCTAACACTCGTATCAGGATCATACTCAATGTCCGCTACAAGGTACACTTTTAATGACTCCATAGTATTGATATTATTGGAGACATTCCTGTTATGTTTACTTATAAGTAATTTCTTTCTCACTATTCTGATTTAACTTTAACTCGAAGACTTCTATTCTATACTAGACAAGAGGAGTTGTTCGATAATGCAAATATTAACCTACATATCTATGGGTAAAGGTAAACCTTTTTTATAAAATTAACTGGATTTAGCCATTATAGATGATGTTACAGCTAAAAGCTATTGTCACTTCTATTTTTTTGCTCTGCTTTCAATCATTTAATAAAATATGAAGGAGGAATATTTTGACTGTTGTTTTACACACCACAATGACTTAGTCTCACTGAATGCTAGGAACAAATTCAACTAATGTAAAATGTCCTATAGTTCAAGTGAATCGTAGTGCTCCTACGTCGTCGGGTGTTTTTATTGAATTGCAGCTGCCAAAGTGGGGTCGCAGTGATTGAATAATGCGCTCCTAGTCACCGTTCATTGTGATAATGTCCGTTCAACTCCACTTGCGTAATTTCCCATTTCTATTAAAGTATTTCGTGATATTTAAGTACCCAATAACTTCAACAGAAATGATTTTATTTTATTTTGATGTATATATTAACGTATATTAGAGTTTATATATCCTTATCCCGTAAAGGATTGCTATATCCGTAAAGATATTTCTAGATCGAATAGGAAAATGATTCCCTGAAATTCAATTTGGATGTTATTTTTTTGAAAAATGTTCTCGTTATAATACTAGTAGACTGTTTTTAACTATATTTCAAATTAGCCGGTTAAATATCATTAATTGCAAAATTTATGGAATATTACAACCGTATAATTTTTACACAAATTTTTTTTTCAACGAATCGAAATATTATTTCTTTATAATGGAATAATGGATAAAAACAATCATGGGTGCAAATTTCGGCACAATCGAGGAGTTTTCACATGCTCTTTATTTAGATACCAAGTGTGAAGGAATACGTTAGATAGGTATGTGGTGCTTTTATTGTGAATCAAAGAATTTTAATTACGGCAGCATCTCCAGAAACCGTATACCTTAGGAACGTATGGAATTTCCGAATTGTGTTTTTTTTTATTATATCTTGTTAAATAAAGTTAATAGTTCAATAACTATTAACGTGCGATTGAACGGGCACCCATGCGATTTTGTTAGACAATGAGAAAGTATTTAAAAATAAAAAGAAAGCACCAAAAAAGCACCTCCACTAGATGGCGACTCTACCAAAAGTTGATTATTGCAGGAAACGAATGGACCAAAGATTCTTTTCTGTTTCTTTTAACTATAATATTAAAAAAACTGAAATTTGCAAAGTTCTAAACTTACATATCAAAACAAATACGAGAAATTTCAAATAGAACATGAGTTATTTATTGAGTTTTGAAAACTAATTTACTTTTATACACGAAATAAAACAGGAATGGTTGTCATGGAGAAATCAAGAAAGTACTGTAGTGACATCTAGTTTGATTTCGGAAACGAATGTTTTTTTTTTAAATACTTCCTCATTATAATCATAATAGTTAAATAAATAGCCATATCTAACGCTCTTGGTCATTCGCTTGTTGTCTATGTTCCTCCATATTCGATTTAAAGCAAATCTTACTTGAATCAACTGGGATGTGGAAGTATTTAAAAAAAATCGAAAGCACAAAAATAGCACCTCCACTAGATGGCAACTCTAGCAAAAGTTGATTTTTGCAGGAAACGAATGGGCCAAAGACAATCATGTCCGTTCCTTTTAACTAACATATTAAGAAATTGAAATTTGAAATGTTCGAAACCTAGATATCAGTACAAATACGAAAAAGTACAAATAGAACATGAGTTGTTTATTGAGTTTTGAAAACTAATTTACTTTTAAACATGAAAGAAAACCGGAAGGGTTGTCATGAAGAAATCAAGAACGCACCGTGGCGACATCTAGTTTAAATTCGGAAACTAATGTTTTTTTTTAAATACTTCCTCATTGCATCACTAGGATCAGCTGTGAGCTTTGGGCTTTATGAGAAAAACGTTTCGTTTTAAAGTTTTTGCAAGTTTTTTGACTTGAATCAAATTATTTTAATTATTCGACTGCTTTAGTTTTGTGTGTCTTGGTGTAACATTTACCATCTTTAGAAACAGTTAAATAATGCCCGTCGATCAGATACAATATTCTGAAAGATACACAGATGACGTTTACGAATACAGGTATGTAATTTTTATATAAGTTTTTACGAACTAAACAAGGTGAGTCAATGTAGAAAATGAACTTTTTCTATTCACGAGTCTGGGCGCTGTGTTATCTTCGTTATTTTACATTTCTTACTAATGCTGTATATCCACTTATTATGGTTGGCTTCTGAGCAGTTTATGTGATGTTTTTCATTAATTTATTTGAAGTCTGTTATAAATTGTAAACTTCATCATTTAGTTAAGTAGTTAATATGAGTTTATAAAATTCTAAGATTAAAATAAAGATTGTGGTTTTAAATTTGTTAGGAATTGCCTAAGCAATGCTCACTGTTAATAACACTCAGTTAATTGAGAATTCACAGTTAAGCACATTTCCAACTGTACTTAAGCCATTTAAGATTATATGTCACAAACAGGTTTTCATTTTTGGTTTAAATTTTTTAATTATCAGTTACTAGCAGTATGATAAAACCAGGACATTTCTTTTTCTCAATTCAGAAACTGGCTATAACTTGAATCACACATCTAAATTTTACAGACACGTCATCCTACCACCGGATATTGCGAGATTGGTTCCAAAATCTCACCTTATGACGGAAACGGAATGGAGAAATCTTGGAGTCCAGCAGAGTCCCGGCTGGCTACATTTCATGGTGCATAACCCAGAACCTCATGTGCTTCTGTTCCGAAGGAAACGTACAGACATACCTAATGTGAATGGTCTTGATGCAAAGACTAGTTCTATGATACAAGTTGGGTCAAAATGAAAAAGTCTAGTTTTTAGTTGTTATATAATATAAGTGCATATACGCAATCACATTTTACTACTAGTTCATTCTTTTGAAAACAAGTTTATTATTATTCCTCCAGTATGAATGAAGCAGTTTTGATTTTAAAATGCACCCACTGGTCCCTGTTTAGGAAGCCCAAATCTCTCATTCCCTGTTACATTGCTGTAACACTTAACCAATTGTAATTTTATTACAAATTTATAATAACTTAAATTTGGGCATATAGTTAAATTTCAATCCATGTCAACTCACTTAATCGGTTAACTGTATTATGCTATATTCAAAGAAATTAAATTGTGGTTGTATGTATGCATTCATTTAATTTGTTAGAATGAATAATATACTTTGAACACTATGTTAATTTTAATACAACTGTAGAATATTTTGCTTCCATGGCCATTTCCAATTGACAAGGGACTTTGCCATTACCTTAGCTCTCTTCGATATTTATTAATCAAATGAACTAGTGAAGGTTAAGCACGATGATTCATTTTGATTTATTTTGAACAACCATTTCAAGACTTGTGGTATTTTATGAAAGATTGTATCAATTGTATGATGAACTCATGTAGACCCATAGCCATTGAATATATCTATTAACTTTTAACTAAAATCTTATAATTGTCTAAACTACCAATTTTGTATAATAATGTACCTATGTTTAACTACATATTTTATTCATTCTAACAAAAAATATAGACACATTAAATATTCCAGCTATAATGCATAGATATACTTACCTAAATGCCTTTATATCCTAACTAATTTGTGATAAGAGTGATAAGTTATTATTTTATATTTGTTTCATTTGAAGCTGCAGACTGAAGTTTAAAATGATTCTTTAGTGCTATATTTCATTGGAGATCATGGTTATGGTGCTGGCAGTATATGGCTTTCAACCTCAAAGGTTACCTTGCTTCAAATTGGCAATGTCTTTACCCATGAGAAGCAACTGTGACTATATTCCAAAATAGCTTTGTTTTTAAAAGAGTGGTTGCTGTTAAGCTTTCGAATTGGCAACATTGCCAATTAGCAGCAAATGTTACACTTCCAAATTAGCTATGTTGCTAAAGAATAGCATCTGGTGTCTATGCTTCCAAATTGGTAACATAGCTAAAAGGTAGACTAGATAATAAAGCTTTATTTTGTGTAATAAGGTTTTTATTCGTAACTTCCAAATTGGAAAGGTTACCAAATAGCAGTAACTGCCTTATATTGTTATCTCAATTATTATTTGGCTATGCTGCTAGCTAAATTGCCATGACATCTGAATCAGGTATGTCTCTTATTTATTAATGCAATGATAATGTACTATTAAATGTGCCTTCTAATTGTAACCTGATATAGATAACTTTATGTTATTATAATAATATACCAAATGGAAATGTTACTGTCTCTCTTTTGTAGTAGTTTTTATGTTTCCATGTTTAAACTAGGACTTTTTGCCATGAATAGTTTAAACTGGACATTAGAAAGATAAGGAAAACAAAGTAATTTCAATAAAAATATTTAAACTTCTTGGTCAAGGGAACTAAGGAAATTTGCAGTCATTTGGAGACGCCCCAGGACCAGATGCCCGAATCGGATCGCCCCCTTCGCCCCTCTCACTCTTAGTCCGCCACTGGTGCTTTCAAACTTTGATGATTTTAGCGTTTTTCTTCAATCTATTGGATAAATTGATTTTTCGAAATGTTTCATTGAAGATGTTGGGGATGGAAACAACAGTTTGGAGATTTGAAGGCGTTTATTCTTTCTTCTTATTTGCAGTACAAAGTACGAAAACGTTCGTAGGCATGCTTTCATACAAATCGGGTTTACTTAAGTGGGATTTGTTCGTTCGCACTTAGCTACTATCCTAACGCGTTAATTGACCTAATAGATTCATGTTATGTCGGTGCCCCTTCCATTATGCGGCGGGGAGGTCGCGGGGGGGTGCTCCCGTCGCTGCTGCCCGTGGTGTGCCCCCTCCACTCGTTGCGGGGGTGAGGTTGCGGGGAAGGGTCTTCATGTCCGCCGTCCGTAACAGTTCTCCCCCCGGCGAAGAGACGCTCGAAGAGATGCTCGGAGCCCCTTTCGCCGGATCGGACGGCTCGCCAGGCTCAGGATCGCAGCGCGTCCCTCCCCGCTGGTCCGGGGGAGGTGCGGATGTGTCCAGTGTCTCGGTGGTCAGCACGATGAGCTTCCTCGTTGGTCGCCGAAACAGCCCACCTCTGGTGCGTACGTCGGCGCTTCGGATCTCGCCGTCGGGCCCGGGGAAGATGCGTTCGATTACTCCCCGGGGCCAGATGTTGCGCGGTGAGTTCGGGTCGGCGATGATGACGAGATCGCCTACTCGAAGTGCGGCTTCTTTTCTTGTTTCGCCCCTCGGTACCAGCGTCGGAAGATATTCCTTCATCCAGCGCTGCCAGAAACTGTCGGCGAGCGCTTGGGTGGCCCGCCATTGGCGCCTGTCGCAGGGTCGACAGGGGCCGGTGAGTGGTAGACCTGATGATGTTCCTAGGAGGAAGTGATTCGGTGTGAGGGCTTCGGCGTCGGCCGGGCTGACCGATACGTGGGTCAACGGTCGTGAGTTCACCGCGTGTTCGGCTTCGGTCATCAGTGTATGGAGCACCTCTTCTTTCGGTGCCCTCTCGTGCAGCGTTGTGGCTAGAGCTGTCTTGACGGACCGCACTAGTCGCTCCCATGCTCCCCCCTGGTTGGGTGCGCCAGGGGGGATGAACTTCCATTCGACGCGCCGTTGCAGCAGGTAATCTTGTAGTCTGGGGGCCCATTCTCGTATGGCCGCTTGTAGTTCCTTGTCGGCGCCTTTGAAGTTCGTTGCGTTATCGCTCATTATAGTTTTCGGCCATCCACGCCGCGCTGCCATTCTTCTTATCGCCATTATCGCCGAGTCTGTGCTGAGGCTTGCCACAACTTCTAGATGTATCGCTCGGGTGGTTAGGCAAGTAAACAATGCGCCCCAGCGCTTCTCGTGGCGTCGTCCTACGGTGACGGTCATTGGCCCGTAGTAATCGAGGCCACAGCACGTGAAGGGCCTGAGGTGCGGGCTGAGTCGTTCGCGCGGTAAGTCCCCTGTAGATGGCGTTGTTGGCTTCGATCTTCTAACTCTGCACATCACGCATGCGCGGGTGGCGGTGCGAACCGACGGACGTAGGCGCAATATCCAGTAGCGTTGTCGTAATTCGTTGATGACACGCTCTCTGTTTGCGTGACCCGCCGCTTCGTGTTCTCTCACGATGATCTTCCGTGTGAACGGGTGCTTTCCGTCCAATATGATCGGCTTCTTCATTTCTTCTGGTACTGTCGCGGCGTTTATTCTTCCTCGTGCGCGCAGTACTCCGTTCATCAGCTCGGGGTCTAACTTGTATAGGCGGCTTGACTGTGGTATCTTCTTTCCTTGTTGAAGCAGTCGTATTTCGTCGCCGAAGGACTCTCGTTGCGCCCGTCGTAGCCACATATCTTCAGCTCGTGTCATGTGGCGTAGTTCCAACTGGCTGCCCTTTCGATGCCATTTTTCGATAGCCAATAGTACTAAGGCCGTGGCGCGGATGAGGCATTCGTATTTGCCGATTCGTTCTATATTCGGCATCGCTTCATTTTCGTTCGTAGAAGAGACGGTCGTGTGGGCCACTATTTCTTCGGAGATGGGTCCCTCTTCGTTGCTTCGTGTAGGCCATTCCTCCCTGTCGCGCAGCAGGAACTCCGGTCCGGATAGCCATCTCGCGGGGACGACGTCGGCGTATTTCGTTCGAGTTGCGTCGTCGGCCACGTTTAATTCGGTGGATATCCATCGCCATTGATTCGGCTCCGTTCGCTCGGCGATTTCACCCAGTCGGTGTGAAACGAAGGCGGTGTAGCGGCGTGCGTCGTTGTTGATCCACGCGAGTACAGTTGTTGAATCCGTCCAAAACACCGTTTCGTCGATTGCCCATCGATGTTCGGTTTTTATCGTGTCCGCCAATCTTGTCCCGATAACCGCTGCTTGTAGTTCTAATCGCGGAATACTCTGCGCTTTGAGAGGCGCTACCTTTGCTCTTCCGCTCACTAATGCTACGTGAGCCTCTCCGTGTTCGTCCTCGATCCTCCAGTAAGCGACCGTGGCGTAGGCGCTCTCGCTGGCGTCGCAGAACACGTGTAGCTCCCGTCGTCGACATTTCGTTGCCGTTGTATAGCAGCGTGTGATTGCTATCTCTCCCATGCGATGTAAGCCCCGTAGCCATGTGTGGAATTTATCGGCGTCTTCTTGTGGTAGCGGCTCATCCCACCCAATTTTCCTTCGCCATAGATCTTGGAGGAATATTTTCGCGGCGATTGTATATGGGCTCACTAGTCCGAGTGGATCGTACACGGACATGACAGCCGACAGAGCCTCTCTTTTCGTCGGCGATCTTCTTTCTTCCTTCACCTCCACGGGTACCCGTGCCATGGTGGTGTTAAATGTCAAGTTGTCTTCGGCGGCGTTCCATAGGAGTCCCAGTGTCTTCTCGAAGTGATTGACGTTCGCGCCGAGTCGGGTCGGTGACTGGGCGTGTAGTTCGGTGGGTATGGTTGCTAAGACGGCTGCGCTGTTTGAGTTCCAACTTCGCAGCACGAATCCCGCTTGCCGATGGACGTGCGCCACGCTGTTTACAATTCTGGTGGCCTCTTCTTCGGTGTCGTAGCTGTCCACGTAATCGTCCATGTAGTGACTACGTGTTATTGGTTGTAGTGCTTCCGGATGCGAGTCGGCGTAGGCTTCGGCGTTAGCGTTTCTTACGCTATGTGCGATGAAAGGCGAGCTTGCCGCGCCGAAAATCAATGACGTCATCTTGTATTTCTGGGGCGGTTTTGTTCGTTCCGTTCCTCGCCACAGAAACATTTGAGCGGGCTGATCCTCTTTTCTGATTTTAATCTGCAAGAACATCTCTTGAATGTCGGCGGTTACGGCGATCGGTTTTTCTCGGAATCGGAAGAGTATTCCTTGCAGCGACGTTAATAGGTCTGGACCCTCTAGTAGTTCTTGATTAAGGCTGGCATCGTTCGTAACGGCGGCTGCGTCGAAGACGAGGCGTAGCTTGCCAGGCTTGTTGGGATTCTTCACCGCAAAATGCGGTAGGTACCAGCTCTTCGGGCTCGCTTGTTCGGTGCCGTCGCATTGCTCCGCGTATCCTTTTTCGAAGAGGTTTTCGACTTGCGCTCTGTAAGCCGTGGCGAAGGACGGGTCGCGATCCATTTTTCTCTCTATGCCTTTCAGTCGTTTCAGAGCGTTGTCATAGCTGGGCGGCATCGTCACGTCGTCCGTACGCCATGGTAACCCCACCTCGTATCTTTTATTCGTGCGGCGCATTGTCTTCGTTACTATAGCCGCGGCGCGTTCGTCGTCGGGCTTTATTCGATTTTTCGTCGATACTCCAAGCGCGTCGATGTCATAGTGACTTCTTATAATTTCGTCGAGGCGTTCTTCGTCGACGTCGTTAGTGCACGGGCGAAGCGGCGCATCTTCTGTGATTCTCAGATGTGACACTATCTTGTGTTTTTCCTTGGTCGTGGCTCGAGGCAGGTTTCCCAGTATCACCCAACCTAGGCTTGTTCTTGACGCGACGGGCTGCGATCTTCGTCCGGCGCGTAGCTCCCGGGAAATCACGAGGTGCCAGTGGTCCGCGCCGATGAGGATTCGTGGTCGTGCTCGATCGTAGCACACCTCTTCGGCGCTCAGCTTACGTAGATGCGGGTGCTTCAGGACGGCCTCTGGAATCGATTGTCCTCTTATACCGATTCGGTCGATCGTTCTGGCTTCTAAGTCGAAGAAGTTCGTGTTAGTGCCCCGTATTTGAAGTTTCACTCGCTTGCTTTCTTCATCCCTTATGACGTTCTGTATGCTGTGCAGGTGGATGGTCTGCGTGGGGCCGTCGGCGCGAAGTTCCTCCGCTAATCTTCTGTCTATTAGCGAAACCGTCGAGCCTTCGTCCAGTAACGCGTAGGTTCGTACTTCGCCGGCTGGTCCCTTGATGACGACCGGGCACACCTTCAGTAGGACTTCTTTCCTTTTCTCGGAGCCGACTGTGGTGGCGACGGTCTCGACGTCAGTCTTCTTTTCGTGACACTCCTCGGTGGTGTCGGCGGACGTCGATGCGGGTGCAGGTGCGGCCTCCGCGTGCAGCAGTCTATGATGGGGTCGGCGACACTCGTTCTGGCCGCACAGCTTTGCTCTGCACGATGTTCGTCGGTGGCGCGCGGCTATGCACTTGAAGCATATTTTCTCCTTTTTGACAAGCGCCCATCGGTCGTCCGTGTTCATCTTGATGAACTGCGGGCACTTGGGTAGCTCATGATCGCCCCGGCAACAGCAGCAGTAGCGACGCTCGGTTGCTTGTGTGATGTTGTGCGTTGCCGCTCGTCGCGTTGCTCCCGTGTTGAAA